CTCTCTCTCTCTCTCTCTCTCTCTCTCTCTCACACACACACACACACACACACACACACACACACACACACACACATACACACAATCAGTTTTATGTCTGTCAGTCTTTTTCCTGCTGTCTGTCCTCCCTCTGATTTTTTTCTGAGTATTTTTCTGTGCGCCCAACTGAGCACCCTTAAGCAGTGCCAAACAGTCGGTGGCTCTTCGTTTGGAGTGCCTACTGCACTCTTATGGGGGGCTGCTCGGTTCAGGATCTGTGTTGCCTGTCGGTGATGACGGATGTTCGTCGGAGTGACTCCCTGGCTCAGTGGGTGGTGGGAACCAACAGTCTGCAGGGTTCAATCGTGATATGAGTAGGTCATGTGCTGATTTGCTCCGTGTTGGATGTGTGGACGTCCTCGTCTGCGCTCGGCCGCTGCCCTGCTGCCTGTCCCGCTTGCTTTGCATGTGGTTCTTTGCAGATTGATGTGTTTGCTGTGCGGTGTGGCCATGTTGTTGGTGTTGCCTTGTGCTTCGCTGCTCCGCTGCCGTGCTGCTCATCCGCTGGCCGAGCCTTCCGTGTTTGCTGCTTGTGTGCCCTGTAGATTTTGTAATGGGCGGGAGCGCTGCGCCCCGCCGGGTTGGCGCTCTCATGACGGCAGCCCGGTGACGCCCTACAGGTTGGAAATACGCGAGCACGAAGTGGCGGCTGGGTATGATGTGGACAGTTTTGGCGTGTCGGCGCCTTGGTGATGGGGTTGTGATGAAGTAGAGATCGGACAGCGGGAGGGCAGGAGGATGGAGCGTGACTCGGTGTTGCCTGCCTTTTGAAAGCACTTCGGTGCCATCTCCAGCTTTGCGCTTCATCCAATGGTGTTACAGGTTAGCACGTTGGGTGAAGGGGAACTTGCCTTCGACAGGAGGTGGGTCTCCTTGAGAAGTTCAGCCTTCTTATGGCTTCTGCTCCTTGGTCTGCGTAGTGTTGTGGTAGGCGGTTGGTATGACGCGGACGGAAAGGAGGAGCGAGTGCTTACGTGGAGCGGGAGGAGGATTGGAGGCGACATCGAGTGCGTTGATTTCGTTTTTTTTGTATACATCTCTGTCATCGGAGGCACTCTCGCTGATCACCACCAGCACCAGCATCGGCATCATTATCATTAGGGTGCTGCTCGTCACCATCATCAGCAACAGGGCGTGATTTGATATCATCGTCACGGTAATGTTTTGTCATCATCATCAGGTCGCTCGTCATCACCATCATCAGCATCAGGGTACTGCTCGTCATCATCATCAAGGCGTATGTCTTCACTCCTGTTCGGCGCTATCATTACTACTATCAAGGAGCCGTGCATCAGGGGAGCGGCTTGCCACTCACTGTTGTATCACCATCGTCAAATTTATCTCCATCATACGGCACGGGTGGCAAAACTTGACGTCATCATAGGGCTTTGTTCATCATAATCATCATCATCATCACCATCATCATCATCATCATCATCATCATCATTATATTATCATCATTTTTAGGTTATTATCCAACGAGTTCGTCATGACACCATCATCATCGTAGTCATCATAGGGCGCTATGTGTCATCATCCTTACCATCATCATCATCATCATCATCATCATCATCATTACTGACATCACCATCACCATCTTCATCATCATCACCATCTTCATCATCATCATCATCTTCATCATCATCATCATCATCGCTATCATCATTACTATCATCATCATCATCATCAGTTTGTAATCATAGGGGCTGTTGGTGCTGCTCTTTGGTAAGATCAGCATCATCTTTCCGTTTTCATCCTCATCATTATCATCATCATCA